CTACTTTATTTTCTCATCATCCTCTGGGTCAGCAATTTGGACTAGGGTCAGAAGGACCAATCTGCTACTCCTCTTTCCACAGAATCAGAAGCAAATAAAATGGTGGTTGTTTTAAGAGTAAGTTTTGGGGGTACTCTCTGTGCAGCAATAGATCATCGATATGGCACAGTAGATTGAATCAGGAGCTCCTGCTTGTTCTATAAAACAATGAAGTACAAGCTGACCATAAAGGAGATCAACCACCCTTAGAATGATTAGCAAAAACTCTAGCCCAGTGGTCGGCAAACCGTGGCTCACAAGACACATGCGGCTCTTTGGCCCCTTGAGTGTGGCTCTTCCACAAAATACCACGTGCGGGCACGCACGTACAGTGCGAAGTTGACTTAAAACTTTAAGTAAAGTTTATTAAGTTAATTTTAGGGAACATTGTGGAGTGAAAGAAAATGTAGTGTCAAGGATTGAGAAAGGTATGTTGAGATGGTTTGGACATATAGAGAGGATGAACGAAAGGAGATAGACGGAACAAGTATACAAGACTAGTGTGGATGGGAGAGTTGGAAGGGGTCGACCTCAGTGAACGTACCTCAATCAGATTGAGGATGTTTTTAGCAAAGGCCAGCTTAGGAGTACCCTAATTAAGTTAATAACAATGTACCTACCTATATAGTTTAAGTTTAAAAAATTTGGCTCTCAAAAAAAATTTCAATCGTTGTACTGTTGATATTTGGCTCTGTTGACTAATGAGTTTGCCGACCACTGCTCTAGCCTATCTAAGGTCTATGACCTATCTAAATGATGCCTAAACCACCAATCAGAGCTTCCATTTGAGGAAGATTTTAGTGCAGAACTCATAGAATTGCGGGCGCATCCAGTGGATCTGCTTTCCCAGAATTGCCCTTACATATCTCAAGGTCTCGTTCTTGGTGGGTTTCTGTCCAGGCTGGCCTCCTCTAAGCTGCGTATGGTACCACTGGTCCATCGTACTCAACTCACATAGCTTACATCTTCAACATCCCTTGGACCATACTGTGGGATCCCTCCAGGTCTGGCTCTCTCTTAACCACTTCTGTACCTCTCTCAGGACCCACAAAGATATTAGGCTCAGCTCCCTTACCAGTCTAGGACCATGGAAAACTCTCCAAGGCAACGCATACCCTTTTCCTGTAAATGTGCCAGGCAGCTTGTCTGGCACAATGCTGGGTAGAGGGGATCTCTCTGAGGCTTTCCATCTTTTGGATTCTAACCTGGAATTAAGACACAGTTCTCCTTGTTCTCAGAATGTGAAAGACCCACACTCATGCCAGCGTTCAGCCTGTGGAGGGGGCAGAGGTAGAGTGCAAGAGCCCCTTTCAGGGACTCCCCAGGGCCCAACCCTCCTTGCTTTGCTTTAGAATAGCCTCTTGTCTCCCAGCCAGGGGAATTTTTATATTATAGCTATTTTACGTGGGCAGGAAAAAATTGGCTCAAGTTGATCAAATATTCTTCCAAACCTTTTTTGTCTGAAGCCTGAAGTTCAGCTTTCTAAACTCAAACGCCAAGAATTTGTCTCTTTTGTTCTCTGGTGCTGCTGTGACAACCCTCCCTGAAGGCAAGAAATGACTCATGGTCTAGCTGCCCAGATGGGGGAGGGTCAGGGGTAACAGGAAATCACGGGGAAAAACACATTTGTTAATACATCAAAATATTATCCTGCTACACTAGGATTCCTATTCTTTTTCTTATTCTTGGTTCAATGGAGACCAACCAGTCCTCTCCTTTCTTACAAAGAGTTCTGCATTCGATAGGGTTCTTTGATATGTAAGAAAAAGAAATCAACTCATTCTTGCCCACCCTCTCCCTAAAAATGAAACGCTGGTGCTGGGAGGAGGGGTGGAAAGGACCAAAGACTACGACAGAAATGTAACCTTGCTTTCTGAAGGCACCCGAGACCTGAATTTCCACGGGAACCATGCTTTCTATGGTTTCTATTCTTCTCTCTGCCTGTTGGCTGTGTTCACTTTAGGACTTTCTCTGGTCCCTCTGTAGGGGAGGCTGAAATTTGAACTCCTGCTACCTGCTGGGACTGAAATCAGTTGCTGGGGGATCTGAATTCTAATGGAAGGGACTCTGACTCCATGAGCTTGGTCAATGGTCAAACAGCTGTGGCTGAGGCATGCTTAGAGGGCAGGACAGAATCCCATTTTATATAAAGTGCCCATCACCAATGAAGGGAGGGAAAATTCTTGAAAAAGTAGAGGCTGGACTGATAACCCCTATGTTAGCATAAAAAACATTCACACCTGTAAAGAATTTTTGTGAGTTTATTTGAGCCAAACTGTCGACAATTGCCGAGAAGCAGAATCTCAATGTGTTGGGATTGTTTTATACATTACAAAGGAGGAGACATAAGTGGTGACATGAAATCCAACGGAGGCGGGAGAAAGCAAAGGAGGGGGAGAACCTCTGGGATTGGATAAAAAGTAAAATGATAGACACATACTTAGGTGGGTACAGGAGAGTTAACCGTCAACAATGAACATTATAACTATAACAATGAAGGAATTTGTGGTCTCTGTCCTGGGGCCCAGGGCATTTGGCTGTGCCCTGAGGGGTCCTGAAAAAGGGAAGTTACAAGTTACCCTGACATTTCAAGGATGTTATCTTAAGACGCAAAAAGGCTCAGTTAGGTAAAGATTGACCTTATCAAGGAAGATACTGGCCTAGGACGAGACTACCCCCATAGCTGCTTTTAGTTATAGTTTTAATTTCAGACCATCCTTTGTGGTTACTTTAGGTCTTTGAGTTTGCAAGACCGCCATGCAGGCCTTCCCTGAGCTTGTCAGGTTAGCATGTGGCCCCTTTTTCATCCACACTTAGATGTCTAATTTATTGTTCCCAGGGTGGAAGTGATTTCACCTTTATTAAATGACCTTGCAGCTTACCTGTACCTATCATGCCACCTTTATCATGCTTCGTATTTTATAGCTATTAATGGACGTGTCTAATAGACCATCAGCAACTCGTGGGCAAGAACTTAGTTTCTCTCTGCATAAAGGTGAAGTGTGCTGCACGTAATAGGTGAAGGGTCATATGAATCCATGGGAATAAAGAAGTTAGTTGAGTCAATAATCCCAAACAATCAATGGATACTATAAGGTGAGAAATATAAGGCATTTGTATGGTAGGTATAATTCTGAAAAAATATCCAGATACCTTCTATTATATGCAACACTTTCCTTTAGGCAGGGAAAGAGTTAAGCAGTTTTGCACTGTGTTCATGGACTTCTGACATGATATAAAACACTACAATTTTGGCTTTTCCATTTTAGCTGACATAGTTTAAGTTGATGAATATTTTGATTTGTGCCAGTCTCGGGGCAGTTTTAAATGCTATCCCTGCAGGAGTCAAGAAGTCCGGTCATAATCATAACAATATGCTTGTCAGTCAAAAGCACCGGAAGATTGTTTAGGTGCAAAGAAAGCATTTTCCCTGAAAGGAAACAGGGCAATTGAAATCACCTACTTTTCAAGGCATTGAAGTCAAAACTGTTACCAGCTTCATGGTGTGAAAATCCAGGTCTCAGGCAACCCCTTGGTCAGACCCCACTATGTCCTCAGGCTATGCAGCCAAAAACAAGTTAGTCTGAAGTTCAGAAGAAATGAGACTAAAGGGAAAGCAGGGGGACCAGGGTTGATGTTCCCATCATTATATGCAGGTCACCATTTGAGCAAGGAATGTATAATGAATTCCCTTCCATCTCTGAGTCCAAGCACCTTGGGACAGGTTTGCTGAGCCAGCTAAATCAGAGAATTCGTGCAATTATACAAGATCTGGGCTGAAGAAAGTGATTTTATTCTACTCTTTTCCTGAACAGACTGAGCAAATAATATTTGATAGAATTGACCTAAAGGTTATACCATAGGAACTGTTTCCATTACAGCAAGCAAAATTTAAAAATTCACAGAGCATTGGGTTCATTAGTAAAAGGGGAAAAGCCAGAAACCAGTGTGGGAGAAAGGAAAGAAGAAAGGAACAGCCTGGAGAAATGGATTTTAAAATTGGAGGCAGCCCAGAATTATTCAGATCTCTGGATATCTTGGTGTCAGGACCTTCTTATTTCAATGTTAGTGTGACCTTAACAATTCCAGCTGCTCAACAAATTTGCTCAGCAACTTCGCCCGACCAGAGGAAAATTAAAAAACGAATCTGGTATGCCTCTTCTAATTTTATTGCATCAATAGCAGCTTGTACATGGAAGCGAACTGGTTAAATAAAAAAGTTACTATAATAGAAAAGACACCTTTCACCCCCAAAGAATTCCATAGACCCCATGCTGATATCAAAAGAATCTCCTCATGGGAAAGAGCAATGTGGAAAGCAGAGGGGAACAAAAATCTGGTGTGCGGCGTCCGCTGGGAGCTTCAGGCAAATATGAAACAATGACTTCATGCAGTAGATAAATTTCTCACATTCTTCAACCAGTTTTATGGGCGAAATACTCATGTATCTATCCAGTTGTGTGAGCACCACGCCTGCCCAAAGGAGAATCTGAGTGGGTATTAAAACATATATCCAGGGTGGAACTCTTAGCAAATGCTAGTCCTTTTGTCCCACGGTTTTCCAATGTTGGTCATTCTTGAAGTCAACCAACAACATGTTGGTGATGATCCTCTATTTCACTGATAAGGAAAAGATAAGTTTGAAGAGGTAACAAAAAAAAAACTTTAGCAATAATAGAGCAGGAGGACATTGACTGTCACATGTACGTCCAGCCTCCCACACTCTCTACCGTCCCAGGTTGCAGTGCGAAGTCTGGCTTTCCTGGCACACCACAATGTGCCCCAGACCTGCCTCTCTTGTTGGCTGTCTCCTGATTTTCTCCTATGAGGACGTTTTTTCTTTTTCCCTTTAAGCTGTCTCTATTCATTGTCTAACTCAGCCATGCACACATGTGCCTCTGCCCCTTTATGCTCCGTTTTCCCTCCCTTCTTTGTCTGAACTCTGTCTTTGTCTCCTTCAGCCTGGATGCCTCCATGCAACTCTCAGGGGCTGCTCCAGCCTTTGCCAGGTCTCTCATCTGGATCCCTCTCAACTGGCACTCTGCCTAGTGGGCCTCACCCTCCAATATCTCTCAGGATTTCATGCGCCTCTGAGGCCATGCGGATACCAGAAAGTAGAAAGGCTTCGGAATCAGATAAATTTGTGTGGAGATCCAGGCTCCTTCCTTGAGGAACTGTGATAATTTAGCCTCTCTGTCGTTTCATTTTTCTCATGTGTAAACTGGGAATCATAATATACTAGCATAGCTTACAGAGTTCTTGGGGACATCAAATAATGTCCTATGTACAAAGTGCCTCGTCCCTTACACCACCAAGTAAGTCAGAGCCTCGTCTCATGTGTTCCCTGCTTTATCTATCAGCACCTAGAAGAGTTCTTAGCACAGAGTAGGTGCTCAGTTAATGCTTATTAAATGAATTAATGAATATTCGGCACACAATAAACATTAGTTCTTATCTATTTTTTCAATAATTTTTGCAGGGCAGGGTGTATGCATGTACTCACTGGGAGGAGCTTTGATAAGTGTTTTCTTGTAGGTCCTTGGTCTCTCAATGGCACATAAAGATCCATTTATTATGGCAGTTAACGCACTTGTCTATGAACTTCAATGCTATTCCCTACTGATGAAAGCAGTAGCAGAGTAAAAATAATAATAATCTTAGAAAGTAAATGAGGGAACTAGAAAAAGGCACTTGAGAAATATTTATCAATTTTTAACCTTTTGTACCTGTCCAGCATGCTGAGAAATATACCATAAAACTCAAAGATAAAGTACAAGACATCAGTAATAAAGGTATGAAGAAGGAAAGAAGGAAGGAAGGAGGAAGAGCAGGAAGGTGGAAAAAAACGGAAGAAAGGAAAGAAGGGGGAGTGGAAGAGAGGGCAGGGAGGAGATAGAGGGAGAGAGTAATAAAAAAGAAAAACAGAAGAAGAAAAAAAGCTGCGAACATATTGCTGTTGCCTCAAGGCTGCGTGTCTTATGTTTGTTCCCAGGCCTCTTGTGATCATCTGGCCCAGGCTGGGAACAGCCTCAGAGGAGTTCTGAAATCCCAAGAGGATAGTGGTATTTAAAGTCCAGAAATTTCGTATCACAGAGCATGCCAAGCCACCACACATCAGCCTCTTCTCTATGTGTCTATCAGCAGAAGCAATGACATCTCGGGTCCTAGAAGGCCCCTTCTTGATTTTAACCCAAGCGAATTCTTCCCATTTAAAATTTAAAAAAAAATCAACTTGGACTGTGATCTCATACACCAGAGAGACAGTTTGGAGCAGCGAAGGCAGGTTTTCCCCTTGGCATAATGGAAACCATGTGTGCCATTACGGATTTCTAATGCTCCAATGAGGTGGGTACAAGTTGCTTTGAAGAAAAGGAACCCATTTCCAACCACATTCCTCCTGATTTATGTCCGAGTCGCAGAAGGTCCAGACAGGTTGGAAAAGATTTGGTAACTAGAGAAGTGACAGGGGGTGAGAAAGTATACTTTGTAAAAGACTGCGAACTTGACTCTCGCTTTAAATTCTTGCCGTAGGCAACGTGTGCTTTTCAGAGCTTAAATCATGTTAGGAGTTTAAATCGGATTGAGGGTGAAAGACTACACAGCTCTATGAATTAGGTCTGGATTGTTTTGGTAAAAACATTTTCCAAGTTGGCCAAACATAAATCAGTCCTAACAAGGCACCTGTGATTACAAGCAGGCCCAGTGCCCTTTACCATACTTCCACCCATTCTTATTTTGCTTCTATTCGCATTTTTTCCCCCAACCAGAAAAGCAGGAAGCAATGAGGATTTTTAGAAACATGTTGCATTGGGCCCACAAAAGAATAGTCCAGAATGACACAAGTCCAGAGCAGAGGACAGAGATGACTCCATGGGTCTTAGCAAGGAGGCCAGGGACAGGCAGAATCTGATGGTGACACAGCAGAGCTTTTCGGCAGACGGCAGGGATTGAAGTCCGAGGTTTAAGTGTCATGTCCAGGAGCTGGCATCAGCCGTCACCTGGCATAGCTGGCAGCTGGCATTCCACACTTCTGCCCCAGGGGCCTCCATGACAACACACATGTGTCTCATCTTTCTCCTTCTCTTACTCTGTGACCTCTAAGTTCTGGTTCAGGAGATTCCAGTTGCCCATCTTTTCAGGTGACTCTTGTACCCAAGGAAAATCTCCATAGCTGTTTTCTTATGAAACCTTGAGTTTCGACTTTAGCACATTGTTTTATGGTTGTATTAGTCTTTATTGCTCCCATGGAAAAAAAAATGGTCTCACCTTCAAATCAATGCTGTATTTCCATTAGCAAATGCCTTTCTTTATATCTCATCAGAAACAATAATAATACTGGGGGGGGAAAGACACCAGGGTTATTTTGCTCTTTTGCAAAACTTGTAAACTTAGTTTATCTTTTAAACTAAGGTAAAAATAGCCTTGAAACTTTTTGTCCACTAAATCCAGCGGTGTTGGGGGAAAGGTGTATGTGTGACTATTTCCAGTCTTACCTATTTTTAAAACTTGACTTAAATCATTGAGTCAACTGAGAAAAAAAAATGAGTGACAAACAATGAAAGTAAGAAGGTTTTACTCATAAAAATGTTTACAAATGGCAGAGAACTTAAGACCCAACTGCTGCTCAAGTCAGTTACTGCGTTCTGAGATCTGATGGAAGACAAGTATTCTGCTTGTGAGCATCACGTGATCAAGGCATTGCTGATTGGTTGAAACTTCTCAGGTTCCTCTGCATCTTATCACTGGTCAGAAAATAGATTATGGCCTCCCCTTTCAGGAAGTTAATTTAATCTGCATTACATATTTTATACAGTGCATCAAAGTTTCCACTTATTTTAGTAAATAAATGACAGTCCAATTTGGCAGACTCTTGAGCTGAAAGCCTCCACAAATGTCTGTTCATTTGAAAAGATCACAATTTAAAACCAAGTTTATTTTTTGTTGTTGTTTGTTTTTTCAAGGGAAGCCTGCACCTTATTTTATTTTTTATGGCACTTACCGCAATTTGTAATTATATTTTATTGATAATTACATATTTATTTATATGTTATTTTCTTACTATCTTCTCCCAGGGAAGGCTGGAATGATGGTTTTCCATTGACTTGGTGATGCACATTTTTCACGTTTTAAAATCTGCGAATTCAGGATGCATCTTAAAAGTAATGTATTTAAGTTTAGTTGGCAGCATTTTACTTTTTCTCTTTGAGTGTTACATAAAATAATTGTGCATCTTATAATTTTTAAAATATTTGATTAAGTATTGCTTTATTTATTTATTTTTAATTTAAATTCTTTATTGTCTAAAGTATTACATAAGTCTCCTTTTCCCCCCATTGACCTCTCCCCGGCCACCCCCAACTGCCAGTACATACCCTCACACCCACCCCCCTTCTGTGTCCATTGGTTATGCTCATATGCATGCATACAAGTGTTTTGGTTGATCTCTTATCCCCTCACCCCCCGCCTTCCCTCATAGGTTGGACAGTCTGTTTGATGCTTCTATGATTCTGGTTCTATCTTTGTTCATCAGTTTATGTTGTTCATTATATTCTACAAATGAGTGAGATCGTGTGATATTTATCTTTCTCTGACTGGCTTATTTCGCTTAGCATAATGCTCTCCAGTTCCATCCATGCTGTTGCAAATGGTAAGACTTTCTTCTTTTTTATAGCAGCGTAGTATTCCATTGTGTAGATATACCACCATTTTCTAATCCACTCATCTGCTGATGGGCACTTGGGCTGTTTCCAAATCTTAGCTATTGTAAATTGTGCTGCTATGAACATAGAGGTGCATATATCCTTTCTGATTGGTGTTTGTGTTTTCTTGGGATACATTCCTAGAAGTGGGATTACTGGGTCAAATGGAAGTTCCATTTTTAATTTTTTGAGGAAACGCCATACTGTTCTCCACAGTTGCTGCACCAGTCTGCATTCCCACCAGCAGTGCAAGAGTGTTCCTTTTTCTTCACATCCTCTCCAGAACTTGTCGCTTGTTGATTTTTTGATGATAGCCATTCTGACAGGTGTGAGATAGTACCTTATTGTTGTTTTGATTTTCATCTCTCAGATGATTAGCGACTTTGAGCATGTTTTCATATGCCTCTCAGGCTTCTGTATGTCCTCTTTTGAAAAGTGTCTATTTAGCCTAAGAGGAAAGACTGTTTAGATTTTTTAGAATAGGAGATGGTTTTAAGAGATTTGACCCATTAGAGTGATTACTTTTGATAAATTTCATTCTTTGTACATACATTGCTTGAATATCTGCCATATGTCAAGTGCTATGATACTGAAGATAAACCAAGGAAAATCAATAAAATTTGATCCGTGGGTTGAATTTAAAAAGTTATACCAACAGGTGGGGAGGGGATAAGGGAGGGGAAGGGCAGGGAATGAACAGCAATGCAAAAGATCCATTTGTTACTTTTGTGTATACATCATAATGTATATCTAAACATGTCACAATTGAATATCAACTAGAATAAGCAGTAGTCATCGATGTTAAACCTTAAATCTTGTCATGTAATAAAAAAATAAATATTAATAACATAGATGTTACACCTTATTTTTTTTTAAAATATATTTTATTGATTTTTTACAGAGAGGAAGGGAGAGAGATAGAGAGTTAGAAACATCGATCAGCTGCCTCCTGCACACCTCCCACTGGGGATGTGCCCGAAACCCAGGTACATGCCCTTGACCGGAATCGAACCCAGGACCCATCAGTCCGCAGGCCGATGCTCCATCCACTGAGCCAAACCGGCTTCGGCAAGATGTTACACCTTAAATCTTGTTGTGTGATAATTCTGCAGTTTTATTGCTATGTCACTGTTTTTACTTTAAATTTCAAATAATAATCATCTCTCTACTCAAAGAAAGGGTTAAAAGGAAAAAAGAAATTGTAAGATTCCAAAATAGGGATTTAATGAGTATAGCTGGTATGAACTTTTGAGCTATTTTGACTAGCTTGTGGGGAATATGTTCATGACTGCAATTATGTTGTATTTGTCTCCTTGGTATATAGACACTTATGCTATACAACTGGGCAGGCCCCTCTGTTGTCCCTGGATTTGGAAATTGTGACACAGGTAATCTAAGATGTAAAGGAAGAAGTCTTTCGTTCTGCCCTCGGTCTTACCTAACTGTTGTATTGTTGGCTTTTTCCTATAGTCACTTTTTCTCCCAAGTTTAATAATCTATATATATATAAGCCCAGTGACCGAACGGCAAAACGACCAGAACGACCGGCTGACCAGTCGCTATGATGCACACTGACCACCAGGGGGCAGACGCTCAACACAGAAGCTGCCCCCTGGTGGTCAGTGTGCTCCCACAGTGTGAGTGCCGCTCAGAGGGCAGGTCCACAGCTGCTCGTCTGACCGGCATGAGTGGCTGCTCCCACAGCAGAAATAGCCACTCAGCTGACTAGGATGAGCAGCGCTCCCACAGTGGGCCGATCCCCGCAGGCCACGCCCCCTGCACTGGGCCTCTAGTTACTAATAATTTCTCAAACATAATTTGAGAGTATCTGGAAGCTTTCATTATAAGCAGAGGGTTTAGAATAAGGAGCCCAACCCCTGGAACATATCTTTTCAAGTGTCAACTTGAATGTCCTAGTCAGAAATCTTGACATTGTGGTGTAGTATGGTATTTTTCTTAAGAGAAGTGGAGTATCTCTCAGATTGGCTAATGGGCTTAGGATGTAGGAAAACAAATAAAGTAGAGCCAT